AGCGAAACACGGGCATAACACTATATATAATTTAGTAACAGTTAAATTAAAAAAGGATAAATACCTTAAGTCAAGAATTGGTTTTATATGAGAATCTCGATCAAAACGCAGACAATTAGAAATAAATTTTATGCGATGAGAGTGAAAAAGATCATTTAACTTAAAAGTTCTGAGACAATATGAGTTTGACATTCGGAGCAGGAAGGCAAAATAGAAGGTAAAGGAGAACGTAGACGAGATAGAAATGTAGAGGAAAGGAAAGAGAAAGAGGGGGAGTAAAGAGCGAGAAGGAAGGTAATTATGAAGGAGAGCGAGATTGTATGATATTTATGTAGGTAAGATTCCAAAGATTCAAATTTAGCAATGATTCAGTATCGTTTTGCTTATTTAAATCTTGTCTTTGTCTTTTTATATGAATCATTTCAGAAATCAATCTTTTATTATAGGAAGATTCGCTATCCAAAATTTTAACATCATTCCATCTGAAATTGTAGTCAAAATTAATACGATGGTCGGTTATGACCGTCGGAGTATCGGACTTTTTATTGATATCAGAGATATGTTCGCGTAATCTCGTACTCAATTTTCTTTTCGTTTGACCAACATAACTGGCATCACATATGATCTTATATACCACATTATGATTAGAAAGCAAATCTAGTAGAGATTATTAAATATTTTATTTTTTATTTTTGTTTATTTTTTACTTTTTGTTCTTTATGAATAACGTCGCTTAGAATAATAACTCATTTCATTCATTGTTTTTTTTAAATCTTAATCTCACGAATATATATATCATAATTTAATTACGAGTAATAGACATAAGTATACATTACTAATATCCAATAAATTTTGACTGTTACACATAAATCATTCAATTCTTTTTCATAATAAAAATTTGAATAATTAATTAATTACTCTATTTGAAAAGAATTATTAAATCAAATTTTTATTTTAAAAAAATAAGATTTATTTCTATTTAGATAAAAAATAAAAAAAATAAAGGTGTTAATAAAAATTTATTTAATAAAGAAAAATTTATTTAAACAAAGAGCATTTTTACTAGCCTCTCTAATTGAAATAAACTTCTCTAAATAAAATATTTAGATTTTCGAAAATTTGGAATTTCGCTCGAAGCATTTTGTGCAGTCAAAGCTTCAGACTTAATCAAATTTTATTGGACATTAATTTGATCGATTATACGACAACGCTATTCAAGAGCAATATATTTTTATTGAATGTCGCTGAATACGCATAGTTAGTTAACTTCTCATCAGCAGAGAATATTTATTATACGAAATAATTAGTATATTATGTATCGTAATTAATCGTCTCCGATGATACTACGTAACTGATTTAAAATAAAGGACTAGTTCGCTATTGATTCTCATGCAGCCTCACTGTACTCTCTTTTCTTCTAGGAAACGCAATTAAGTTTCTTGAGAAATAGGGTAGATCATACGAAAATTACGTATATCGGATTAGCATATTTGCGATTGCTCGTTCTGGCCGTCGGCCGTGCTGTAATCGAACTTGTACATCTAGTCAACGACGACGGAAGTTCTGATCAACGCGCAGTAACTTTATTATCGGCTTAAATCCCATTAAAAGTTTCCCTGTACTACCGGTTCGAGAAGATGTGATAGCGCCGATTTATTCGTATTTAGTTTAGATCACGCGAATTTTCAATGCTGTAAATCGATTAATTTTGTACCTCATTGCATCTTTCAACAGTATTTCAGCGTATAAATTTTCAGACGTTTGAAGACGTTTAATCATGTTGCTTATACATCTTCTTTTTCTGTTAGAACTGAAGCACATATTTGAAAAATTGTACAAGTCGTTCATTTTATACTTCTGAAAATAAATGAAGAATTAGTTTATCATTGAGCAATTCACCTCGATAAACAGTCAAATTAAATCACTTTTCAGCTGTACATTTGTTACATGGTATTCATATACAAATTTATGGAAAATTTTCTTTAACCCTCCGTGAATTAGGTGGGGTGTGACATACCCCAGCACAAGACTTTCTATAATTCTTTAAAAAGTACCACTTATATATGTTGCCAATTTCGTGCAACTGAAGAGTGCGTTGTTACCAATCACACTAAAATATATTTATAATGAAGTATAGCATGAGGTATGAGATATATCCACATTTGATCCATGTTGATTTTCCACCTGGTTCACGGAGGGTTAAAAGTATTATACTTTATTTTTAAATTATACAATTATTAAAATAAATTGTATTTATATAAATACAATAGGTTTAGCTTTATACTTTTTGAATAATTTATGAATGTGCTTTATATAAGTCCTCCGATAAAAGGTCAGAAAATCGACATGGTCGAGTTATCGTATCAAGGTCTTCAATTTATCTCGTTTGACACAAAAAAGGTCGCGAACGGTTCACCGAAAAAAATTTGCCTCTTGCGAATTTCATCGAATCCATGTCAAACGTGCGCAGCCTCGTGACAGGAAGAAGTTAATTGATAGTCAAGATACGAAGTTTATATGTCAAAAGGTTTAAATTCTCTAGTTCTCCTTATGCGTTGCCTTGACGCTACTCGTCGAAGCATCAAAATAAATTGAGCCATTTCTGTAAAGGTCACGTCAGATCGCGAAATTAATGGAAACCATACGACAACAACTCAGTGTCGTTGCATAATTATTAATGGCAGTTTTTCAGAGAGTAATTTATTACGCTTCTCTCGATTAACTCGCGTAATGAGATAAGAAGTATTTCTATCTACCGAATGGATCATTATTGCGTACCGCAAAATTGCGGTTGAAAATGTTTTTGCCGTTTGGAATTTGAATAATCGTTGCTTCTGGTAAAATAAATATGTTTCGTCCCACACACTAGTGCGTGCTAAAGTTCAATTTACGTTTAAACAGAAAATAATAATAGGAGTAAATCGAAAGTTAAAAAGAAGTCTTACATTCATATTTTTTTCTAAAACTTTTCTTCTCATTAAAAGTTCTTCTTAACTTTTTATTACTCGAAGATCATCGATTTTTCTTAACGTTTTGAATATGAAGAAAAACGGAACAAAAGAGAATATCTGGTTGCCAGATTCTAGCCTTAAAATATCGTTATGCTTTTTAAATGTCCTGTAATTTAATTGTAATTTAAAAGCATAGAAGATAATAAAAGAGCAATCACGCGAATAACAAAAGTACATAAATTTCACGAATACACCATTGTGCGCCGTGACGCACACACACAATGTGTGTTAAAATTACATTTAGTCTTTAAGGGGATTCTAAAGCCGCCTGTATTATCGACTAAATCATATAATTTTTGTATAACAAATACTTTTTTCTCTTTCACGGATTTGAAAATTCTTTTCCAAGATTAAAGTATACGCATTAATACGTGTTTGTGAGGTGGAGTTTATGCCGAGAACGACCAAAAATTTCTAAATTGATATACTTTTTACCATTTCTTAGTGTAACATGGCGTCTCAAGCTGTCAAACCGTGACAATATTTGTTTGATACGAAAGTTTTGGTACCTGTACTTACGAAATAATGATCCACAAACACGTAGTTTGCACGAACAAATAACGTTGAGTTCTTAGAATTACACTTAGACGCTTTATCGCGACGAATTTGTTATACGAAAATTGACACAAACGTGCGACTAAATATATCATAGGTTGCTTAAGATATTGGTGTGGTAGTATATAAAGACATGTCGATGTACTGAAAAAACAGTGACATCTAGTGATTTTGTCGGAGTTCGAGCTTTGCTTTAGGATCCCCTTAAAGTGCACTATCATCAGAAGCGACCGATTCAAAACGAGCTTATTCATGTGAAGCACATTGGAAAAGCTCTTCTGCATAAATTTCAGTCCAATAATGTTTTTTAATTTTTATTTCTCATGTTCACTAGTTGTTAAATGTCATATTTCAATATTTGAAGCGGTTTACGAACAAAGTTATAGTATGTTCTCTTGTCGGAATTAATTTTGTGAGATTAAAATAATACTAAAGCCTAATATATTACACTGAAAAAAAATTTTGGTTATTTTTGGTCCAATGAATGATCGTTAATCAATGTCCGACTTTAACGTCAGTTAATTCATTGATATAATAACTAGTTACATTTATATAATTACATATTCATTCTTGCAATGAATTCTAGTAATAGTTTTATAATCTTTATCATTATGAGAATATATTGGACCAATTTTCATTAATTCAATGAATATATTTATTGAATAATTATTGTATTTACGTACAGGTTTTTTTCAGTGTATCTTTAGAGATATAAATTTACGGAATATATCAATAATCAATAAATACCTTAAAAAAATTCTTCTACCAGAAAGTGATACATGTATATATATATTATGTTTGAAATAACTAACTTTAAAAGATAGTCACTCGAGATGTCATTTTATACTTTGTATACACTCCGCATATAGGATAAACCCGCTAAACGTCATTCAAAGACATTAAAATCTGTCGCGATAATTATGTAAAGGCTTAATGGACGACAAAAGTAATGTTTATAAGCGAAGCAATCATATGGTTTGGTATTTAACTGGTCGTTTTACGTAATATATCTTAATCATTCCGAATTAGCGCTGTGAGAGGATTAGAGGACGCGTATAAAACAAGTTTTCATTTTTCTGCGACAGCTTTGAAGATTCATGTCAGCCCGAAAACGAAGGAAATCCTAGATACATTTGGCACATTCGAACTCATCTGCAGGGGAGAAGTTATATTGAAGGTAAGTCCTTGACATATACGATTTTTCCTCAATTTCGAAATACGTTTCTGTCTACTTCATTTTTTATTTGCGAACCCAGTTGTTGCTTTTTTCCTTGAGAATGAAAAGACTAAGAATTCCTATAAGTTTGTATCTTACGAGACTGTGATTTTTAATGTGGCGAATATTGGTGAAGAGAATGATCATTGCGCGAGCCCAGTTGCGATCGTTTCGTAGATTGCGACGTATATTGCAAATCTTTTTATCTCATGCATCCTTGTACAGTTTTTTGCAAATTAATCTTCATATTCGCAATTTAACGAAATATTATGTTTACTACGCAGTAAAACGTTCAATAACTTAAAATTATTTATGATGCTTATATATATTTAGAAATCTCTAATTTATTTTTATATTATATCAGGAATGGCCTCTTTTTATCTGGTGTGCTATTATGAAGATCTTTCGAGATTTTTGGTGCGTCATTCTGCTGCAGAATTAAGAAAAAAGCTTAATACTAATAAAAAAAATGTAATAATTAACTTCTTTTAAAAACAAAAAGATTTTTTCTATTTAACAAAATTTGTTTTTTTATTTTGTTCTGTTTTGTTTCAAATAGTTTATAGTGTTATTTTATTGTGCTATATTTTGTTACAGTATAAAATTTTTTTTTACATTATGTACTTTTTTAAATGCGCCATTGAAAATATCTTTACGTGCCATAATGGTCAGCTACCCTCTACTGTAAGCTAATAAAAATACAAGTTTATAGAATATGAGTTTTTCGCACCGTGTTACGTTACAATTTATTAGAATGGCGTTAAGAGATCTCTTTCCACAATTTTATTCTAACGCTTTACATTTTATAAAATATTTATGTAATAAATAAGTATACATATATAAATATTTATATTTTATAAAATATTTATGCAGATTTTATCGGATGTTACCGGTTTCAGTTTTTAACGCGTAAGGTATAGGCAACGGTCCTTCAACAAGGGACTCGACTTTCTTAACTTCGACAAATCACATTTTTACACCTCCGGGAGGGCCGTGAGTTATATATCGCAGTCGTATTCGACGGTTAGCTTCTATATGCGCATTTCTCTCGTTACATATTCAGAGATGATCTACCATAACCGAGTGCGTTACGCTCTCTTGCTTAATACACATGCATCATGTGCATCACGTTGTCCGTTGCTCACAGGTGCGATCCGTCTCCGTTTTCCCGGAAGAGAACAATTCCCGCTGGCGGCATTAATTTCGACGTCGCATCGTCGAAATTATAGTAGTTCGTCCAGTGTGTCACTGATGTCCATGTGATAAAGCGGATGACACGACAGGGACGCGCCATAGTTCCGAGATCACGATTCCGATATCACGGGAATCATCAATATCTCAAGTGAACGGCAATAATAAGCGACCGCTATTATAGATCTGCTATTTATTTGTGATTCGATCGGTTTGCCTCGAACGCACAATCGTAAACATCTCATTGACTCGTCGGTCGATTAAGTACACCTCGAATGATGGACGAAGGCGTCCATGGAGTGATTGGATCGTTTACCGTACAATTCGGGTCAAAGTTCAGCGGTCGCTAGTAAGCTCGAACGGGCGCGCGTGCATTTGCTGGCATTCACGTAACTCTGCAGAGGTATGCAATTAATTAGTAAGATAGCGCCAGTGGAAATACGCAATTCGCGCATAGTAGTGGGGCTACCTACTAGGAATTAAAATTCAAGTACTTCGTATACCACTCGGCTATTGTACACGCTACCGCTTATTTGAATATTTCACGAACGGGCCGGAGTTAAACGCATTAGCAGATCTCTATCGCGTAACAAAGCGATATAATAGCTTCACCTTTGTTATTGAATCCCATCGCACAGGATGACCTTAATTAAATCTCTGGAACTACGTACCTATACATTGCATTAACTTTGATTCTTAATCATCATCTACCGTAACTAACTATGAACGTAATTTTGTTAGCACATTTGATCATTTTCCGTCTCTATGAATAAATTATCCCGTACATTGTTTTCAACAAATATTTGAGAGCTGTATTAACTACAAGTTCTTATAGTTCAGCTTTAGTATATAAACTAGGAATGTTATATTAAACGAATATGTATTTTGAATGAAATTTTATAAAATATTGATGTTAATTTAATATTATAAAATATTAAATTTTATCGGATGCTGCAGTGAATAATATCAGATCGTTTTAATTCAAAATAATCTTTCGTTTTCGCCAATGTTCGCAGGGTAAAGGTCCGATGACCACTTATTGGTTGATGGGCGAAAAACCGACGAACAACAATGTGCAACAGGCAAATCCTACAACGACTGTCAGCCAAATATCGATCCTTCAAGATCAACTTCCTATCACCACGCAAATTCAAACGACGCAATCGAAGCAACAGGAGCAGCGGGCACTCTCGTCCGTCAGCCAACAACACAAATTTCAGGGTCAATTAGACCAGCCGTACCCGACCCAGCAATCGATTCAGTCGAGGAGTCAGGAGTCGCGGCAGCAGGGACATCCGGGTCAACAGATTCCGTCGTCGGCCACGAACCAGATTCAGGGTCAAAGATCCGCAACGGTTAATCCCGCCTGCGGTCTCGCTAGCGTAACTGGAAACGGCGCGCCCAAATCGGTGGTTGCACCGCGTACTGTCGTCGCGACGCCGATCGGCAACTCCTCGCCGTCCCGCAATCGCACGAGTGGACCGCCGAGTGCAAACAACTCCATGCACCAGGTATATCCGACGGCCGAGAGCATGCCCAATCACACTGAAAGCGGTCCCAATGCGCCGCTCCTGTTACCTGCGGGCGCGGTCCCCAGAGTCTAGTTCTTCTAAGATGTTCTTCCTCGGCGATGTTTACCTTACCACCTCTCAAACCTGCGAAGGATATCGTAAGGAATCTGAGCTCAGATTCGTTAGTGAGAAAACGAAATATGATCGTGGTCAAAACTGAAGCAAGAGAGAAATGAGCGATGGGAATGAATTTATAAACGGAGGATTTGTTCATCATTCTGATCTACTAAAGCTTTTAAAATTCAGATTCTTCGTTTCGGAAGTAATCAAAGTGATTTGTGAACATATCGTGGCAACAATTGTCTTCTATCAGATTTACGACAAAGGTGCTTCTCTTGAATTAATTAACGTTAGTTTCATGACTATTTCTTGATTTCTAGAAAGTCCACATTAAATTAGGATTCTAGTAATCAACTAGTGAAAAATTTGCTTTTACCATAAATACTGACTATGTTATTAGCATTGCAATAGATATACGTATAATTGACAAGGCGGGACCGACTCCATGCTGAAAGTGATCTCTTTCTACAAGGTATTATGGAACCAATCGATTAATGCAATTTTTAGAATAAATATGAGTATCGTGAATTAATCGTGCGATAAGGATTAATAATGATGATCGGATTGGACGATCCGAGCCTAAAAGAAGACAAGAAAAGACAATTATAGAGAGATACACGACCGGTGACGTACTTTTGCCAAGGTACTTAGTCTTCTGTATATGAACACAGTATTATACCGGTCGTACATGTGTGCATTTTATTTATTCGTACCAAAGTGAAGAACGTTTACGTTTCCCGTTTACGCGCGTACATCCCCATGCAATTCATTTGCAACGACACGTAAAATGCAACGGGCTTACAATTAGCTTAGCGGTAAATTTTCCAAAGTTAGCAGCAGCCAATATCTGACTTCCGCCGAGCCTCACACGCCGAATTAATTAAGATCCGATCGCGAATGCAAGCGAATTTAGATTCTCTCCCTTTGCGAGGATTTTAGGATTCATTTTATCAAAAAATGATTGCGATTGACTAAATCGTTCTCTCTACATTACGATAGCAATTACTGAGAAGAAGAGAGAAATAATGAAGTCAAATCAAGATTGATAATTGATCGTAAGGGATAGAACGGTAAATTTTCTCAAACACATTCTGTATAGAAATATTTGCGTAAGCTTCTTCCAATATAAAGTTTTTATTAAAATATATTTTTCCTTCCAAACTTGTCTACGGAATCGCAAATATACATATAAGCATCACAAAAGACATAGCTCGGCCACAGTGTTTATTGTCGCATGCTCGACATGACAAATATTATCGTTTGCAACGCGTCGCAAGACGCGCGCAAATACAAAATTCTGTACCTACACGTGTAAGGATGTTATATATAAATACACAAAAGAAAAAAAAGATATATATGTATACGCAAGTACATGTATATGTTACGAGATTAGATCATATATATATATATGTATATGGCTGCAAAAGAAAAAGTTACCGTAGCTAACGTCGATGTTTAGAGTTGTGGCGAACAGAGGCTGGGCCTCTCGCGAAAGGAATCTATGACGTGTCTGAGAAATTAATACCGATTGTGAGTGCATATATCTGTGAATGCACACATATACACACATGCGCGTATTCACACACATATACATGCATACACAGGTATGTGCACGTGCGGTCGCAATTGCATACCCGTGTTTAATGTATGGACGAACGGTGCAGGTGGCTGATATTCCGCGGTCGCCCTGTTGTAAACGTGATGTAGCGGCAGGAGGGGTGTGAAGCATCGTGAAGAGTGAAATTCTATCTGTGTCAATCTCTCTTTCAACGATGTACCAATGAATATTCCGAAAATAAAGTTTAGTCGTTTTCAAGACTGCCTAACAGTTATCTCGGCGTCCGATCGAGTGGTCTTTATTAATGAACTCGTTTCCGTGTGTCGCATCGCTGGCCAGAGCCGGAAGGATCGTTTCATCAACCGAATGCATGCCTTACGTAAGTGCAAAAAGTTCTAAATGTATAAAAGTAGAAAAATCTTTGGCACGTGAGAACGGCTACGTGACTCTCAAAACACGGCGTTCGCGAATATCCAATCGAGATAAGAAGTCACGCGAGTATATATCCCCGGATATCCGGGATCGCCACAGCGAATCCCCCAGGATACTATCCCGATGTTGACCCACCTGCCGTTGGCGAGCTGATGCAGCAACGGACCACCCGAGTCACCCTGAAAGAAGAGATGATTCATCGGATCTGGTAATATAATTAAAGTAGATCTGTCCTTTCCTCGACATCTCTTAAAATATTAACGGACTTCAACTAGGAAGACGGCAAAAATGAAGTCTTTCTGGTTAATTCATGCGCACTTAACATTTCATCACATCACCGCGACATCACATCGCCCTCAACCCTTTTCCGGAATAAATAAATTATTATCTTACTTGACAAGCGTCGCGGCCACCCTCGTAAGCGCCGGCGCACAGAGTAGTATTCGGAATCAGTTGCGTGAAGCTGCGAACGCATCTTTCTTGAGGCCATACCGGTACCGCGGTTTCCAGCAGCACTGTGCTAGCAGGTCCTCCGTAGAATAGCGTGCCCCAACCTAATAAAATTACAATATAAAATAAATTTACAATTTTCAGATTGTAGAAACAATTTGCATCTTTTGATTTCTTTCACCCATTCCGCCGTTGTAGAAATGTGTCAGAGAAACTATTCAGTAGACACCAACTTAAAGTAACGTAATATTTATGTTATATTTCGTACTCAACAATACAATATATAAATATAATATAACATATCATGAGTTACACAACAGTTACATTCAATTATGTTCAATGCGAAATTATAATATTGATGTTATATTACTTTTAGTTGGTGAGTAATTGTTTCACGCGGTTTAAAATAATATTTCTAGTAAAGTAATAACACAGCTAATAATATAAATAAATTTTGCTTACTAAACATTGAAAAATTAAATTAATTGAAATTTGATATAAAATGCGTAATATGTTTTTTCAATTTTTGGCTGTTAAAAAAACATCTACAGGTGTGCGAATAATAGATTTTAAGAAAAATTAACAAATTATTTTATTATTAATTTTCAGCTTAAAAATAACGTATCTATTACATCTATTTGTAAATCTAATACTGACCCGTAACGATGGCGTCCTTATTCTCGAACGATTGCTGAATAGGCGGGAGGCAGATGGGCCAGATATAGCTGTTAAACACGGTGGGTCGATGGATCTTAATGATAGCAATGTCGTTCTCGTATGTGTTCAATTTGAAGTCCCTGTGTATTCGTATCTCCGACACCATAAAATCCAACGCTCGCGTCTCCTCGTACTTAGTGAAATCATATTCGCCGAGTCTCACTGTGATGTTGCGCGGATTGAACCTATAAAGATTGCGACGACGCAACGCAGGATAACTGTAACTTATTCCCATGAACTCTAACTGTTCATTTCACGGTTACAACAAAGCGGATATATATCGCACATTAACGTCTCTGACAAAAATAACAAAGAAATGTGCCAGCGCGCCGAAACATTACAAAGTCTAAGCGCGATCGTCATGACCGCAAGAATATGAATGTGTTACGTCTGAAATACCGACCAGATCGTATCTTCGTTCATAAACTCTGAGGTACGAGGACATACGCATTTATCCTGAAGTGAATATTATATACAAATATTTCTTTCTTTATTGCAACCACTTGACGCAATTTTTTTTTTAATGCAGTCGTATTTAGTGTAACCAATCCTTTGCACTATTTAAGCTTATAGAGTGCAACATGAATTTAGTTTTGTTCATTTACAAACATATATGAAAAAAATTATGATGGAAATAATGAAGAATTTTTGCTTAATATCTTGTAATAAAAAAATAGTTCGAAACTAATTAATTAGCATTTAATATTGAGGTAATCCTTTGTCGGATAATGGACTTTAAAGGCACTATCGATTCTTTTTTTTGTGATTTTTGGTAAATAAATTTAAATTTATAAAATAAATAAAATACAATTTTACCTTTATGATAGTAAAAACTTAGTTGAAACTTTTACAAGTACGTAACAATTTTTTTTAATTTTTATAAAGTCCGGAATAATATAAAAATAGAAGTTTGAAGACCTATTAAAAAGGATGAAAATTTCACATTGCTGACGAAGAGTTAAAAATCTGTTTTTTATTTTGTAAAGACCATTAAAAACCTTAATGAATATTTATATGATAGTTTACCTGTAAACGCAGTGTGCGGCTGTAAGTATGTGTCTATCAGTGATTAATACACCCCCGCAATACTGAACTACTCCTTGTCTGAGAAGAGCCGCCATCCACGGCCACTCTTTAGGGTCAGCCGGTTGGCCTCCCGCGATTCTGGTTTTCATTCTCGTGGTTGTGCCGCATCCTCTGGGTCTTCGTGGCTTCCTTGTCTCTTGCTTGACCGATATCCCGTCTTTTCGCAAATTCGCATCGCCGTGCATTGTCTTGTTGGCAGGTAGCCCGTTCTCGTCCCCGTTTCCTTGAGTTTCGTCCCACTCTTCCTCGTCGTTGTCGAGACCTGCGAGAGTAGAATTTGAAGCACGTATATACACGTGCGGTACTCTCGCTCGCTAAACAGACACTTGATACTACGAGTATCGCGATAGACATTGATAGATATCGTTTGTCATGAAAGTGCACGTGTATAGCATTTTCATCAAGATGCGTTAAGTTGATGAAAACATTTATGTGGATATTTATCGCAAGAAGTTTTATATAAATAAATAAAAATGTATTGTACAATTATAACGGTTAAAAAGATTTATTTTTCAATCGTTATTATCACAAAAATAATTTTATGATATTTACATAGTTTAATTAATAATATAATTTTTAAAAATTATTCTCAAATATATAATTAAAATTTATACAAACTCGCTATTACTGGTAACTTGCTGGCTAAATCATCGTCAAACGTATTTTCCGATCGAGCTGTCATGACACCATCAGGACAACACATACCTATGTACCTGTGACGAGGAAAACATTAATAATGAAATGACTGATG